GATAAACGATCGCGCGCCTCCTTAACGTTAACTGGCCCTAATAAGACGCCTGCACTGCAGGCAAAAGTAAAGGTCTATATTATAGGCAAATTATGACCTTGAAAGCAACGACTCAAGGAACGTTTTGAATTGATGTCGTTTAAGATTGGGTGATTTTTACACAAATTATATAACAAATTGTTCCATACGCTTGAGCATTTCCAGCTATAAAAACCCTTTCTTCCAGCTACAGCAAAATGTACCGTGAACTGATGAAGTAACACGCGTGATTGGTGCCGGTAGTACAGGCGTTAATTGCGTAAATTTGGCACGGTGATCTTTTGTTTTGATTGTATTTTTCGAAGCAGTCTTTGGTAGGGAACATCAAAGGAAATGTTTTTTTTATCTAAGGATATGTTTTTTTTCTAAGGAATCACCTTGAATTAAAAGGAAAATTATTCACTGTTTCGAAGGTACCCAATGGGTTGTTGAGCAGCTCTAAATCATAAGAGTAATAATTTACTAAAAATGAGATATTTAGAACTCAACTGTGCGTCTCTTTAACTGGACAATTGACAAGTACGTACGTAATCGTTTCTTTTTTTTAAGATTGTTGTATTCGAACACGTAAAAGGCTATGGTTACGGTGTAAAAGTGAAGTGAGCACTCAGAGAACTGGTGTCATTCTCTATTAAGGGAACGATAACAAAAGCGAGAGCTTTCAATGTCAAAACAATGGGAAAAAAGGAAAGCTGATCGAGTAGTTGAATGTATAAAGTTCCTTGCAATCAAAGACAAACCAGACAAAACGCCGCGTCACGTAATCTACGAAATATTTTCAACAAAAAAATTAAAACAAAAAAGAGGAAAACTACTCACCATCATCTCCAGAGAAACCACAGGCGAGTCGTTGATCTTCTGTAAATTCTAGGAGTACGAGAGAGGTACTCGTAGTTTACTAGAAAACTAGGTATTAAGAAATTCAACTCCACTTCTCTTTAACTGGACGAACGCAAGCTATTTTCTTAAGACTATCCTACCTTAACATGTAAAAGGCTGAGGTGCGGTATAAAGGTTAAGTTAGCACTAAGAGAACTAGTGCCCCCTGCT